GACCCCACCTTTCCCCAACGCCTCGGTGATGAAGTCAGGTCTTCATCAATGACTTCAGGCAAAGGAGGGGTTCGTGTGTACACGATGTACTTAGTAACGGGACGTGGATCCCACCCGGAGAACGCCATCGCCTTTTTTGTTGAATGTCCCCTGCCTGGCCATCTCTGTCCTAAGCAGATAGCTACTCACCACTATCTACATCCAGCGCCCCCATCAGTCCTGGAGAGGCTGTTACTGAGTTCTGGATGGAGAACTTCTTGACTAAGACGAAGAGACGCGATTGCACGTTGCGTGGTGGTCCAGGGGATTTGGAGGCGCGTTCATGCGTTTAATTGTTAAGGTCTAGACTGTGTGAAATTCTAAGTGTTGTATCCCTTAGGATGTTGCCAACTGGGGACCCTGCACATTTTACAGATATTCTGAGGCTCAATTTACTCATTTGTAAAATGTGGATAATTTTTAGTGCCCACATATTCCTGGAGTTGTGAGATTTGGGGATTACCAGTTACTACAATATAACTCAACCTATTCTGACACACATGAGCAAAAGATATTTACCGAATCAGAATGTCCTGCAGCCACTGGTTTCTCTGCCCACTTTTCAGAGAACAACTTCTTGGGAGAGTTGTCGGACTAATTCAATGACATTTTTAATGGGCATATTGTAATTGTACATATGTATCAATAACATTTAATTTTGTTGACAGCTACCACCCTCAGACCCTCTTTTCTTTCACCTTCCGTGACATCACACACACCCCATTCTCCTCCCATTTCATAGCTGCACCTTCAGAGCACTGCGTTTGAGAGTTTGGGCTTTGGAATGAGACCATCCAAGTTCAGAGGCCAGCTCCACCACTTACAACTCCATAGCCTTAGGCAAGTCACTTAACCTCTCTGTGCCTCATTTGTGAAACAGTGATTGTGATAGTAGCTATTCTGCAGGGTTATTGTAAGAAAAAAAAATATAATCATACACCACATGATACATGATGTTTTGGTCAATGAAGAGCCATATATATGCGGGCAGGCCCATACGATTATAATATTGTATTTTTATTGTATCTTTTCTATGTTTAAATACACAAATACTTACCGTAGTGTTATAGTTGCCTACAGTATTCAGTATAATCATGTGCTATACAGGTTTGTAGCCTTGGAGCAATAAGCTACACTATATAACCTGGGATATAGTAAGCTATGGCACCCAGATTTGTTTAAGTACACACTAGAATGTTTGCGTAACAGCAGAATCACCCAACGATGCATTTCTCAGGACATACCCCATTGTTAAGTGTTGCATGACTCTCTCTCTCTCTCTCTCTCTCTCTCTCTGTGTGTGTGTGTGTGTGTGTGTGTGTGTGTGTGTGTAAAATCTCAGAACAGTGCATGTCATGGAGTTAGCTTCAAGTATTATAAGTTAATACCACTGTCCTCGTTGCTGTGGGAAGCTCCTTCAACGTTAGAATGTTATAATCCCTCAAGGCTCAGCCCTAAGCCCATTCTTTTCACTCTATGGAATCTTCAGTGATTCCAAATCAATGGTCCAGGCCTCTCCTTGTGGCTCTACACCTAGAAATCTAGTTACCCACTTGACATACCCTCTTGGTTGCCTCAAGGTCATCTCAATTTTAACATGTGAGAGGCAAAACCATCTCTTCTATTATGCCATCAGAAATATAGGAGTCATTCTTGGCATCTCCCTTTTCCTCAGTTCCCCTTCCTCAATCCAATCTATTGCCTAGTTAGTTGGTTTTATCTCCTAAATATCCTTTCATTCCATTCACTTCTCTTTGTTGCCACTGCTACTATTTAGCTCAGGTGGCCACCAACTGTACCCTGGACCACCATAAAAACTGCTTATCCAGTCTCTGTTTCTATGTTGCCCTCCTCTGATTTTGAGTCAGTGATGTATTTCAGTCATGCCATTCCTCTGCTCGAACACTTACTGGTTTTCAGGTGGTCTTTGGATAAAGATCTAAATCTTTAAGGCTTGTAAATTATGTCACTAGAGTCTTGAATGCCAGAGCTTATCATAGTGACAAGCACATAGTAGATGCTCAATAAGCATTTGTTGTTGTCTGATTGACTGCCGGGAAGAAGCACTTTTACATTTGATCTTTGAAAGCAAACCACACAATTTTTATTGAGGGAATAATATTAGTAGAAATGACTTCCAAAAATAATTTTGCTGGGGGTTCAGTGGATTGAGATTGAAGCTGAAGACCTATTGAGGCAGAAGTAGAACATTTGTTTAGGTCCAGAATAAAAGTTTATTGGCATTTTTATTGAGAGCATGATAAATTTTTTTTTTTGAGTTGGAGTCTCACTCTGTCGCCCAGACTGGAGTGCAGTGGCCACTCCCGGCCACCACAGCCTCGACCTACTGGGCTCTGGCGATCCTTCCGCCTCAGCCTTCCAAGTAGCCGGAATTACAGGCGCGCGCTACCACGCCCAGCTGATTTTTTGATTTATTGTAGAGATGAGGTCTCACTGCCCAGGCGGGTCTCAAACCCACGGGCTCAGGCAAACCACTCATCTCAGCCTCCCAAAGGCGCGGGATTACAGGCTGAGCCACCGAGCCCAGCTGCATGATAAATTTATAAAATAACTTAGGGAGGATATTTGACAACTTGTCCTACTACATCATGTTACTACAGTCTACTACATCATGTTAGGTAACATAGCCAGAGATTCCAGGGATCAGAATATGGATATCTTTAGGCACCATTATTCTTCCCACCACAAGTAATATGGTCCGAGTAACACTCGGCTGCTCCCCTTGATACCAGTAAGTCAAAGGGGCAGGAAACTGGTACAAAGAAGTTTATTTCTGAGTTCGAATCCAGGGAGCAGAGCCAGACTCAAAGTCTTTCTAAAATGGCTCTGCTCACCACCCAGGCTTTTACAGTTCACTTTTATAAGTCCAGAGTAGTTAGTACATAGACATTAGCCACATGACCAACAGAGTATTGTATAGAACTTGAGTTTCAGTCACATTTATCGATAGTGACATTTTTCAGTCCAGACTTCCTGGTGCCAGGTATCAGAGGTATCTTACAGCTTTTATCAGTAGGGCCCTGAAGAAGCGGTAATCAAACTTGCCATAGAGTAAAGGGCCTAAGACATCATGCATTACACAAAAGTTATACAAATCACAAAACTTATGATTTACATTGATACAAAAGTTACATAAATCACAAGACTTAAGGTTACATCGACACTATATTGTTCAAACTTATAACCACTCAGAAAAAGGGAGTAAAAGATTTGCAACTTTCAGTTGATTGGATGTAGACTACAGGGAAGTCCAGGATCCCTGGAAGCTACTCACCAGGATTGCATAGGAGATAAGGGGAAGCGCACCTTTTATTAGCTCTCAGGAATATTGTTCAGGAATGTAAGGGAGTGCTTGTGCCTTTGCCATGCCCTTCTCTAGGGGCTGTGACAACATGGACAGACACTAGTGGGTCTCTGTATCACAAGTACTACTTACAATGACACCAAAAAATGAAATACTTAGATGTGAATTTAACAAATATATCTTAGATCTTTGTGTTGAAAACTACAAAACAATGATGAAAGAAATCAAAGAGCAATGAAGGTATGAAGATATATACTGTGTTCATGGATTGGAAGACTCAATATTATTAAGATTTCAATAAGAGTTACCTATAGATTCAACACAATCCCAATCCAAATCCCAGCAGGATTCTTTGTAGATATCAGCAAGGTGATTCTAAAATTTACATGGAATGGCAAAGGAATTCAAATATTTGAAACAATTTTTAAAAATAAGAACAAAATTGGAAGATTCATACTACTTAATTTTGAGACTTACTATAAAGCTACAGTAATCAAGACAGTGTGGTTTTGGTGAAAGGATAGACATAGATCAATGTAATTGAATGGAGTCCAGAAATCAACCAACACTTTTTACAAAAATTCACTTGGCCAGGCTCGGTGGCTCATGCCTATAATTCCAGCACTTTGGGAGGCCAAGGTGAGAGGATTGCCTGAGCCCAGGGGTTCGAGACCAGCCTGGGCAACTTGGCGAGACCTCAACTCTATATGTATAATTTAACTTATGAGAGGAAAAACAATAAATCAACAAAAATTAGCTGGTGTGTTGTGCATGCCTGTAGTTCCAGCTACTTGGAAGGCTGAGGTGGAAGGATCACCTGAGTCCAGCAGGTCAAGGCTGCGGTGGCTGTGAGTGTGTCCCTGCAATCCAGCCTGGGCAACAGAGTGAGATTCTTTGTGCCCTGGGATTAGACAAATAATTCTTAGATATGATACCAAAAGCACTATCCATCACAGAAAAAAACTGATAAGTTGGACCTCATGAAAAATTAAAAGACTTTGCTATGCAGAAGATGCTGTTAAGAGGACGAACATATAAACAATACTGGGAGAAAATGTAAATAACATATAACAAAGGATTTGTATCCAGAATATACAAAGAGCTCTCAAAACAATGAGGAAACAAAAAACTCAGTATATGCATGGGAGAAAGATTTGAACAGACACTGCACCAAAGAAGATATGCGGATGCCTATAAGGAAATGAACAAGCTGCTCAACATCAACAGTAAAATGCAAAATAAAACCACAATGAAATACCACTGATACACCTATTACAATGGCTTAAAAATACCAACAATATCAACTACTGGTCATGTTCCTTCCTGCCACACTACTCCTACCTATCTAATCAGGTCCTTCTCCACTTTCAGATCTTTGCTCAAGCTTCCCTTCTGGGAAGACACACACACACACACACACACACACACACACACACACACACACGGTTGTAGAGCAACTGGAACATTCATACATTGCTAATTGGATTGTAGAGATGGCTCAGCCACTTTGGAAAAACAGTTTGGCAGT